ATGCGAGCAACGATGGAGAAGGTGAAGAGTTCTGAAGAGGAGGTCGCTGAACCGAAACAACATTGCGACGACTGACGTGCACGGTGTAGCGTTCGCGAAAATTAGAACTTTGGCTTGTGACGAGTGTTCTAGTCTGCGTTGCAACATTGAATTCGGCAAGCACGTTCCCACACATTACGACAATGACCATGTCCGTACCCTGTGTCATTTTCATTGCAAGCATACTGCAGCAACATGCGTCTGCCTTGCAGCAGCGCGTTGGGAATTGCACTTCAACGTTTAATTCGGTGCAATGCCTTTTGCCACCACACCTTCCCCCTTATTCGACGGTGCATGCTGGAGGCTCTTGCGCCACGGGTTGACAGGCACTTGCCCGCGGTGGCGATGGGTGGCGATGCGGATAGAGCGTCAGGGCTTCACTTGCTGCGGTACCCGTGTGCCACGTATTGAGATTGCCATTAGTTGAGCACGCTTTGGGTTTCTAGGACATCTTGCCGGCCATTGTTTGGGCCATGCGGCCATTTGTGGATGTGTGCCCATCCCGTCGCCTCCTCATCCTCTGCCTCCCTGCCCTTCCCGCCTTTCTCCTGAACAGGGGACAGGGTCAGGGTGGGGAGGAGTTGCTCCACTGATGCATACCTCTGGGGTGTGGGGGGCGCGTTTGAGGGCTCCGGGATAGTAACCATGATCAAGGACGAAGGACTTGACCTCAGGACGGGGTCGGGATGTTCCCAGGATTGAAAACATAGGGGCAGAGGTGTTGGAAGGAAGACCTCGGAAGGGAATCGGAGTTTCTGTTATGTATATGGTTAATGTCGGGTGGTTTGGTAGCGCAATTGGGGCCCAGATCTTCGTCTTGCGTTGGACGTTCCTTCTGGCGATATATTTATTAGTTGGCTCAGTGGATTCTCATGGGCCTCCCGCAACGGGAGTTGGGCATTGAGCTCGTGAATGGTGCGCCCTCGATTGGGAAGGTTCCATCTGCAGGTGGGTTTTGGCTACGGGAACCGGCAATCGAACCACCGCCGCCATTTAGCTTTTGGAGACGCCCATGCGGCCACACGTAGGGCTAATGTCTGGCCAAGCTATTGGACAGCGTGTTCTCCCAGCCGTTGTGGATCTTCACCCAGCCTTTGTGGATCCCCTTGGAGGGACACTTTGGGATGGGAAGGGAATTGGGCGACGAGAGCGTCCAGGAGCGCCCGGGTCTCGGGGTTGACGAGCGTTACAATACCGGAGCCGAGGACTCCAAGGGTTTGGAGGACATTCCGCTATGTGCTTCGGGGCAAGGTGGCGGATACCGAGGAGAGCGATGTTTGATTCGCATGCGTTTGGCGGTCCATTTTCTCTCCCCAAAGGTGGGCTGTAGATTGTGAGGGCAGCAGGCTGCAGTTTACCGTGCTTAAATGTACACTGTTGCGCGTGAGCACTTGATATGTGTTCACATTGATGTGCGCACATGCGCATGTGTTCACACATCTGCACCTTCTATGTGCAGAAATCGAGTTCAGTGTCGGATTGTGCAGGTCTTGGCAGTCGCCGGGATGAAGAACGAGCTCGAGGTTCTCCCGCATGTTTTCAGTTTGTTTGGTGTTGCTTCATTTCAGAAAACAAAAGCTACACACCAACACCTGATTTGGCCAGACCAATCCTTGGTCCCAAACAGATGTGTGTGATTAGTTGGCATATTTGCATCATCTTGATTTTGTCAGTGTTGTCGGCTCGCGCCCATTGGGGATCGATTGATAGACCCTCGTGGCGAGGGCACACATCCAACCAGCGCTTCAGTAATTACCTCGTGGAGCTTCTCGCAGACATCATTTGACGATGAGGCATCGGGGGCCTTTTCTTGGTCACACCCTTCACTCCTCAATCCACTACCCTGTAGCACTGCTGCGTTCCGTCAAGGCAATGCGTCGGCGACTCGTCTGAAGATGCGTATATCATGGCAGTTGTTGCAAGGTGGCTGCATAGGTTTGAAATTGTGAGGGCAGGCATTCGATTTCGTTGCCGCCTGAGGCTTCCATCTACGGCAGCCGGGAGAAGCTCGAGCGTGAGGACATGCTAGAACCAATAAGTTTGCATGGGATATAACTCGCATTCATAATATCCATAAGGGCTTCGCCCCCTGCCGCCGGCCCCCTCTCTCGGAGAATGGGCCATGGAAGAGCTAAGTCATGAGGCCTTGGCGCTGTCGTGAAGCAGTATCGAAACTTCATGCGAAGCCGAGTCGCAATCAGCAAAACCAACTGATCACAAGAGGGGTTACCACACCTGGCGATTGGTAAGACGTGTATGGTTTAAGGGCTTGGTTACCACACCTTGCGATGAAAGGGCCGAGGGAGTTCTCGCAGTTTGGGTTACCACGCCTTGCGATGGATGTGCGTGATGGGTTCGAATTTCAGAAATGTGGCAAATCCCCTGTGTTTTTGGACCCTGACCCCGCGGATCTGCGTAAGGGGTGGCGCCGAATTTCAGAAATGTGCAAATCCCCTGTGTTTTTGGACCCTGACCCCGCGGATCTGCGTGAGGGGTGGCACCGAATTTCAGAAATGTGGCAAATCCCATGTGTTTTTGGACCCTGACCCCGCGGATCTGCGTGAGGGGTGGCACCGAATTTCAGAAATGTGGCAAATCCTTTGTGTTTTTGACCCTGACCCCGCGGATCTGCGTGAGGGGTGGCACCGAATTTCAGAAATGTGGCAAATCCCTGTGTTTTTGGACCCTGACCCCGCGGATCTGCGTGAGGGGTGGCACCGAATTTCAGAAATGTGGCAAATCCCATGTGTTTTTGGACCCTGACCCCGCGGATCTGCGTGAGGGGTGGCACCGAATTTCAGAAATGTGGCAAATCCTCTGTGTTTTTGGACCCTGACCCCGCGGATCTGCGTGAGGGGTGTCGATTTCGAGCCCCGCCAGTAATTCAGACAACGCGCCCAGGGGACGCTGGAAAATCTTGTTTGGGCCTTCCGCTCCCTCGCGCGGTCAATCAACTAGTTACAGTAACCAGCAAGAAGTCAACTAGTTACAGTAACCAGCAAGAAGCAGAACTGTAACACTGGAAACTAGAAACTACAACTGGTACAGGAAACTGCGAATCACGCGCCTCGCAGCCTGGTGGCCCCACAAGGGGGCCGGCGGATTCCTTATTGATAAGATTAGACATGGACGATTCATTCAAAACGATGAAGATTTAAGAGCAGCAACGGTCTTTAATGAAGAGTTCACGTCCACAATATATGCCAGGGTTTGTGCTTGTAAGCTACGAGAGGTCCACACAGCTTGCATGTGCGCACCCACGCATATGTATCTACATGCGCACATGCTTTGCGCTCGTGCTTGGTTCTGCTATACCCAGGCTGTCCGATCAGATTGTTGCTTCGTGTCTCTACCACAATCGGTGCGCGCAGGACATCATCAAGGTGTCCACTGAAGAGCAGCGCGAGGAGTTGACAAAGTTGCTCGCCGAGTACGAGGATTGGATGTACGAGGCGACTGACAGTAGAACGGGTAGACAGTTGAATCTGGTTGGATTGCCCCCGCCAAAGGTCTGCCCACCGCAGGACGTCAGAATACGAGGAGTATATGCGAGCAGATTGACACATCTGGCCGAAGACGAATCCGTGCATTGAGCATGCCCTGTGAGTGAGGCGTCGCGTGATACCAGTGCAATGTGAAAGCGGTTGGTTGGCTGTTGAAGGTGTCTATCATGTGATTGTGCCGAGGCTCTTTAGAGAGGATGGTGAACGTTTCCTAGGGTATTCAGCCTGTGAACGGTATTGGCAAGGATCAGGCAAGCTTACCAATAGCCACGGTAGGGTTGGTCGCATTGGAGCGTGTGTGTGTGTGTGTGTGTGTGTGTCCCCACTGTCAAGGCTAGACGCACGTTTTCTCCTGTGCCTTGCTTTCATCGTGTGTCTGTGGTGTCCACCCGTGTTTGGCAGCATGTGCGATTAGGAGGAGGAGGAGGAGGGTCGGCTACGTTCGAGAGGAGGATGAGGAGAAGGAGGAGAAGGCAAGCCGCCCTTGTTCTTTGTGCCGTCTTGAATCCTCTTTGGAGCCCCGGAGGGCCTCTTGAGGCCATCGTTGGAGCTTGTTCATTCAAGGAGGAGGGTCCTCGCCTCTTGGGGCGCTAGTCCGCCCCTCCAACTCCTCCTCCTCCTCGCCTCCCCCCCATGGGGCCATCAAACATCGCCCCTCAGGGGAGCCAGTGGACCGATCTTGGGCGATCTTGGGGCCATTTGGGGACCTCTTGGAGAAGGAGGAGGAGGAGGAGGAGGAGGAGGGGCTATCTTGCTTCAAGAGCGCATCGGAAGCGGCACAGCGATAATGATAACGTCATTGGTTTCCAGTAGGCGTTTGAAGGATTCTGGCGTTTCGGGGAGGGGTCCTGAGGGGGCTCCAAGAGCACTTGGAACGGTAACTATTGTGGCCCTCATCTGGTCTTGCTGGGAGGTATATCGGAAGCTATCTTGAACCATCTTCGATTCTTTTGAGCCGCCTTGGAGATCATCCAGGAGCATCGGAGGCCCTCTCGAAGCCATCTAGGGCGCCGTGACCGCTCGCGAGCCCTCCCCACAAAACCTCTGGAAGGGGGGGTGGTACGGTACCCCTCCCCGAAGGGAAGACGGGATCTGGAAGAGGAGGGGGGGAACTCGTTAGGCCGCCTACGCCCAGAGGGCTGGCGGGACCATCCACCCCCACCATCCGGACGCGCAGTTGCAGGACATCTGCAGTTGGCTGCAGCATGGAGCGACCGCAGCGGTGATGTTATGCCGTGTGCGAGGGCAGGAAGTTGCCATGTCATGCCTGCGGCTTCTACTGCTCTGCTCCTCCCTTCTCCTCCCTCCTCCTCGTCCTCGTCCTCCTCCTCCTCCACCTCCTTCCCCTCCTCCTCCTCGTCCTCCTCCTGTCCTTTTCCTGATACATAACTCATCCCTGTCGCACCCCAAGGCCAGTTTTTAGGGTGGGCCGGGCGTTTCGCCTAGACTTCCTCACCACTAATGACCCTGAAGCTTAAACATTGACAACAGTTTCACAGATGGAGGGCGGGTCGTTTTCAAAATGTGGCTCTCGTCTAAGCGCCGCGCACATTCGTTTTTTTCAAAAAAAATATTTGCAAGAGCTTCACGGGTTGAGGGCAAGTCGTTTTCAACATGTGATTCTCGCCTTAGCGCCGCGCACATTCGTTTTAAATATTTGCAAGAATTTTGCGGATTGAGGGCGAGTGGTTTTCAAAATATGATTATCGCCTTAGTTTCGCGCACGTTCGTTTTATAAATTTGCAAGACCTTCACGGATTGAGGGCGGTTCTTTTTCAACATGTGATTCTCGCCTTGGCGCCGCGCACATTCGGAGTGTATTTTTGCAAGAGTGTCACAGTTTCCCATGATCAGTCCACCAGAAAGTGAGTTTTGGACGGATTCTGGATTCCGAGGCTGAGGGCGCAACAGTTATGTTGATTCGCAATGTTGAAGTCCCAGGGATAGCGTTCTGGTACGATTCAGGCTCGTCAAGACGCAACCGTCAGATTGATCCGTGGCGTTGGAATCCCGAGAAATGTTTTGGCATGCTTCAGGGTCTTCAAACGGTTGCCTTCCAACTAGGCAGTTCCCTCATTGGAAAGAACCTTTGTAGGGGCCGATGAAGAGGGAGTTTGGAGGGAGGGTTTACTCCAACATCGTTGATGACTCTTGGGTTTACACTGGTCCCCCTCCTCCTCCTCGTCCTCCTCCTCCTCCCACGAGGCGGAGGAGGAGGAGGTTGTTGTTCTACGGGGCGGAGGTGGGAGAGAGAACGGGTCAGTGGCAATCGTCGGCGGCGCGCAGGAAGCGGTGGGGGCAGGGCCAGGGCAGGCGCCGCATCGGAGAGGCCCTTCTGCCCCCCGAGAGGCCCTTTCTCTGAAGTTTCTGCGGCAGCAGCCCTCCGAGAGCCACCGGGCGCGTGCCACAGCTCGCAGAGGGCTTCCTCGCCAACGTTCGACAAACAAACCACATGCTGGCCTCGATAGACTGGATCGTAGATCCCCCGCGACGGATCCAGGCGATCTGCGGGCAATCATTTTGCGAGTAGTGGAACTGCGGGGCCAAAACATGTACACCACCACCACCACCACCACCACCACCTCCCTCACCCCCTCCCTCTGCCAGGAGAGAGGGGAAAGGAATCCCGGGGGCAGAGGAGGGAGAAGGAATCGACGCGGTGGTGGTGTATGTTCTCGGGGCCCGCATGGAGCGCGCTTGCCCAGAGGCGCTCCCTGCCTTCCAAGAGGGCGGCCGCCCGCGCCCTGCCCCCCTCGGGCGAGCCGCCAGGAGCAGGATGCGGCGTCATCGAAGACGCCCACCTTGAGTCGGGCGTGTCCCTCTACAGGAGGAGTATCCAAACATAGTTTAATAACATCGTACTGGGACATGTCTGTTGGTTTTTGCTAGTGTATGTTTGATCATGTTTGAATTTTGTTTGACTGTTGTCCACTGTTTGCCCATCATCCGCCTGTAGCAGGACATGCCCGACCTAAGCCTTCCTCGAGTCGCCGCCGCCCCCTGCCTTCTGCAAGCGCCCGTGTCGCGAAATGTCCAGCGAGCGTGCGACCAACGCTGCTTTGTGGACGGCGTCTTTCTCCAGCCGTTTGGGAAAGCACCTGGGGGACGTCTGCGGTTGGACCCTCCTTGGCCGTGATGGGAGTTGCATTTGGCATGTGTTCTTCCGTCCTTCTGGGCCTTCCTCGGGGCTCTCTTGGGTCGTCTGGCGCCTTCGGAGGCCGTCCTGAATACCTCCCTGGGCCGTCGCAGGGATTACAGTGAGCGGCTTCAATAAGGAACACTTTTCAAAATGGGCTCGGTCGTTCCTTAGGCTTGCATGCGTTATTGACCGTTCCCTATGCGCTATGTATTCTATGTCGTTCCTTACGCGATGTTCATTGGAAAAACGAGGGTTTCGTTCCTGATTTATCGTTCCTCAGGTCAGGCCGATGACTTTACGTGGGGCCCTCTGGGGCCAGCGCGGGGCTCCCTGAGGCCAGCGTGGGGCCCTCGTGGGTTGTCTTGGGCCCGGCCTCGGGAGCCTCTTCGGGCATGGCCCTCCCGCCGCCGCGTCCGTCGTGGTCTGCTCGCTCCTCGCTTCCCCCTCCTCTCCTTCGCTGGGCTGCGCGGGCAGTCGGGGCAAACGGCAGCTCGCGCCGGCGACGGACGGCATCACATTGGGTTTCTCCAGACCTGGGTGTGACCACCACCCCTCCTTTCCCCTCCTCTATCCCTTCGTCAGAGGTCGAAGGGGCGCACTGTTATAGTCAGCACGCTCCATCACCCACGCACCGTTGGAGCTGCACCGTTGGGCGAGGAAGCGCAGTCTTCGTCTTTGGCCCTATTGGACGCTCTGAATCTAAATATCCCCTTGTGTTTTTGCTTATGCGAGGGCCTCCTGGGGGTCCTTTTGGAGGCCTCTTGGAGGCCCCTTGGGCCGTCTCGAGGCCATCTTGGGCTGTGTGGTCGGCGTCGCCCCAGCATACTAATACGATGCTGATACTATGGGTGCGTCGCCCCCCCCCCCCCCGCCACGGGCGACGGGCACACCGAGAAGTCTTACAGTATATGCGTCGTAGCGGGACGCCGCTCAGGAAACGAGACACTACAAGATGGGTATACGATAAGTTCGGGTCGGGCGCGGTCGGGCGCGCGCGTCCAAGAAGGACATAGAGTACTAGTATGTCTCTGTGCGTCCCATGCGACGATCCACCGCCGCCCCCTTGCCTTTGGAACCGCCTGTGCGGCCGAGTATTGGGCCAAAGTCTGGCCAAAGTGTTGGACGATGTGCTCAGCCGTTGTGGAATGCCTTGAGGGAACACGCGGGGGAGGAAGAGGAAGGTGAGGAGTTGAGGGAGAAACATGAGGACGAGGACGAAGCCTTTTAGGGGCCTCGTGGTGTCTCCTGGGGGCTTACTGCCTGAGGGCCTCTGAGGGGCTTCTTGGGAGCCTCCTGGGGCCTCGTGCGGGCGCTTGGTGGCCTCTTCGGGTGTCTTGTTGAGCGTCCTTCAAGCCGTAAGAAAAATAAGTGATTCTGGTCTATTCGAGTCCTCCTGGAGGTCCGCTTGGAGTCATCAGGGGGGCGTTTCAGGGGCCACCTGGGCCACCTTGAGGCCATCTGAAGCCGTTGTGAGGCCATCTTGCACCATAGCTGGTCCTCTTAGGGCCATATAGGAGGCGTCGTATGGCCGCATTCGAGGCCATCGAGGCCATCTTGGTCGATTTATGACGTGAATTTCAGCGCAAGAACACCTTATCCTGTGGTTTGCGGTGGTTTGCGGGTAACTAGCAGGTTGGCTTAGAGACCATCATATGTATTTGGAAATAGTTTCCAACAGCTATTCATTCCGGTACGCCAAGCACGCTTATGGTGAGCCAGAGGGGGTGGCCCATCAACCGGCCTTAGCCTGATCTGTTCGCCGTAGTATGTGCAATATTGATGTGATGCCGTTGAGCACTGCAAAGCGCACACCATTCGTGATTTGTGCGCCTACCTGCTCAACTCATTCACTTCGTTTGTGTTGTCATTCGCCTCGTCTGAACGGAGTAGTTCCCTCCGTAGGCCGCCTGGGCATCTCCCACATCCGTTGGGCAGTGCGGGATATTCCAAGAATCACATTCGAGTGCTCGCGCTCGGGTCTGGCACAGTTTGGAGCAGGCAGGGGCCGTGTGGGCGGCCCTCTTTGCACGCGAATGGAGGTTGGACAGCACACCCGCGGGCCAGGCACTCCAGTCACGTTCGGTGCTTCTGTGTCGTGATGCTTGAGGGGGCGTAGTCGCGTCTCGCCTGACCGAGTTGCCATGCTCGTGGTTCGGGGGCCGTTGGTTTGGGAACGTGCCCACTGGCCACCGTGGAGTTATTGACTGCACTGTGCCTGCAATGGGCAGTCTGGGAACTCTCTCCTCCCGTTTCGTGTCTTCCACGTCTCGAGCCCTGAATTGTACATGGAAGGCCGGGGCGACCGCGTCCGACTACTCGACCAGGCTGAGCAACTTGCAGGACGGCGCTTGTAAAGTTGAGATGAGGAGCAGGGTCTGGCGTCCCTGTGGGACGTGTTTCCAGCAGCGAGCAGGGTCGCAAGGGAGGCCGCCTTGCGTGGCGTGCATGGGTGGAAGAGGAGGGGAAGGGGGGGGAGGGAATTGCGAGGAGAGACCGGAGATATGGAAGCAGGAGGATTTTCCAGGACGCACAAGAACAGGAGGACGACTCGGTGCAGTGGTTTACACGTAGGTGGTGCCCCCTGGCGTCAGGAGGATGATTATCTTGTGGTGTGTGCGGGCCGCCACATTTCCTGCAATTCTCATGCCAGGTCATGCCTCCTTGAACATGTCTTGGCTCGTATTTGAGCGCTCTCCTTGATGCAGGTTGTGCGATCTAGTTATTTGCAGCCACTTCAGTGCATACACGGCAGTGCTCCGCATCGTCGGCTTGGGGACTCAATGGCGCCCACATGTGACGCGGGGATACGGCAAGGCTGCACCATTTCGCCAATCCCTCCTTCGGGGAACGGTTACTCGACTCCGTGTTTGCCGCACACGCTCTTGAACACAACGGGAGTGTGCGCATGTGTCGGGGCTTGTTCGCCCTTCGCAGAAGAGCCTTTGTTCGACGCCCGTCCCAGGGACCAGCCACAGTGGGGAGGGGGAGGATGAGAGGATCCAGGAGGGAGGGAGGAGGGAGGAGGGAGGGACGGGACGATGATGATGATGATGGTGACGATGATGATGGTGGTGGTGGAGATGGTGATTGTAATGGTGACGGTAACGGTGATGGTCATTATGATGATGAGGATGATGTGGATGTTGATGACGATGACGATTACGATGAGGACGACGATGACGATGATTTTGATGATGGTGTTGTGGCTGCTGATGTTGATGGTGGTGATGATGATGATGGTGATGATGGCGGTGCTGACGGTAATAATGATGGTGGAGGTGATGGTGATGGTGCTGGTGCTGACGGTCCTAATGATGCTGTTGATGATGTTGATGATGATGATGATATTGATGATGATGCTGGTGGTGGTGACGATGATGACGATGATGTTGATGCTGCTGATGATGCTGGTTGTGCTGATGTTAGTTATGATGGTGATTATGTTGGTAATGATGATGATCATGCTGATGTTGCTACTGATGATGATGATTATGAGGATCATTAGGATGATGATGCTGATGATGCTGATGCTGATGTTGGTGATGCTGCTGCTGCTGATGATGATGATGATGATGACGAGGATAATGAGGATGATGAGGATGATGAGGATGATGAGGATGGCGATGGTGACGGTGCCGCTGATAGAGGTGATGCCGATGGTGACGGTGTTGGTGATGGTGATGGTGATGGCAGTGATGGTGACAGTGGTCAGAATGATGATGGTGGTGATAATGCGATGATGGTGTTGATGATCGTGGTGGCGATTCTGATGGTCACGTCGGTGGCAGCGATGTTGACGAGGAGGAGGAGAAGGATAAGGAGCAGGATGAGGAGGGCGAGGATGAGGAGGAGGGAGGGGAGCAGGAGAGGGTCAGCAGCGAGACGGGAGGGGCATCGGGGCATTAGAATGAGAATAATGGGGGAGGAGCCCCACGTGAGGAGCTCTGTGGCGGCGACGGCCAGAATCCTGTGTGAGTGGAGCCCGCCTGCCGGCGACTTCGGGAACCCTATGGCGGCAGGGGTAGGACCCAGAATGCTGGGCCAGTTGTTTTGAGTGCGAAGTGAAATCTCCGAGGTGCAAGCCTTTGTCGGTGAATCTCGACGCTCCTGTCCTCCTCTCATCCTCGTCCCAGTCTTCCCGCCTCCCCCTATGGAAGCACCTGGGGTCCCGAGGCCCCTCGAGACCTTTAGAGCTCCCTGCGTACGTACAACCTCCTCCTTTTCCGTACCTGGTAGAGGCATCTACATAGAGGGGAGTGAGGGAGGGAAAGGAGGTGGCGGATGAAGAAGTTCAGAGTAATTGGTAGGAGGAGGGAAAGAGAGGAGGAGGAGGAGGAGGAGGAGGACGACGACACCTAGGTCCTCTTTTTTCGTCCCCTCACAATGCAGGCCCTGCTGGCCCCCATGGACGAGAGGGCCATGGAGCTGGAGTTCCGCGCTGACCTGCCAGACACAGTAAAGGAGACGCGATCCGGCTCCGCCGCACCGCCCGTTGTTGCCGTAGTCTTCATCATCGAGTGCGGAGAATGATGAGAAAGATGGGGGGATGGGGGGGAGGAGGATGAACAAGAGGATGAAGAGGACGAGGATTCAGGGGGGTTGGCTGGGGGGGGGTAGTCGCACCAGCTCCACCAGCCGCAGGGGGGTCAGGGGGAGATTCGATCTCTTTACAACCCGAACGACACTTCACAATCGAGATAGGTCACATGACAACCAGCAAAGGATCGAATGCTTTGGTCTTCCTTCCAGAACGACCATTTTACAACCAGACCAGAACAGCCCACTATACAACCAGAGCGGCCCACTTTACAACCCAGACGGGGCTCTCTACAACCAGAACGGCCACTTTACAACACACTCTGCAGAGGCTTCTGAGCGCCTGAGCGCTTTGCAGAGGCTTCTGAGCGCCTGAGCGCTCTGCAGAGGCTTCTGAGCGTCTGAGCGCCCTGCAGAAGCTTCTAAGGTTTCTGGGCGCCTGAGCTCTTTGCAGAGGCTTCTGAGCGCCTGAACACTCTGCAGAGGCATCTGAGCGCCTGAGCGCCCTGCAGTGGTTTCAGAGCGCCTGGGCGCTCTGCAGAGGCTTCTGAGCGCCTGAGCGTTCTGCAGAGGCTTCTGAACGCCTGAGCGTTCTGCAGAGGCTTCTGAGGCTTCTGAGCGCCTGGGCGCTTTGAAGAGGATTCTGAGCGCTGGAGCGCTCTGCAGTGGCATCTGAGCTCTGCAGAGGCTTCTGAGCGCCCGAGCGCTCTGCAGAGGCCCGTCGGGAGCTCCACCGAAGGCCCCAGTGGCACCGCCCGCATGCGTCACCCACACTCAGTGCAGCGTTTAGTGGCCAGGGTTGGCCAGGGTTCGCCAGGGTTGGCCGCAGGGCTGGCTGTCGCTGGCTGGCCCTATAGGGGGCTCCACCGAAGGCCGCAGTGGCACCGCCCGCATGCGTCACCCCCACCCAGTACAGCCCTCGTGGCTTCATAGGGAGCTCCACCGAAGGCCCCAGAGGCACTGCCCGCATGCGCCATTCCCGCCCAGTGCAGCGCTTCGTGGCCCCATTGGGGGCTCCACCGAAGGCCCCAGTGCCACCGCCCGCATGCGTCACCCCGACTCAGTGCAGCGCTTCGTGGCCCCATAGGGGGCTCCACCGAAGGCCGCAGTGGCTGCACTCGCATGCGGTTCTCCCAGCCAGCACAGCGTGTCATTGCCCCATGGGGAGCTCCACCGAAGGCTCCAGTGGCAATGTTCGCATGAGTTCCCCCCACCCAATACAATGTTTCGTGGCCGAAGGCCCCAATCGCGGTATTCGCATGCTTCCCCCTACCCAGCACAGCGCTTCGCGGTCCCATGGGGAGCTCCACCAGAGGCCCCAGATGTTGTGATCGCATGCGTTTCCCCTACCCAGTGCAGCGTTTCGTTGCCCCATTGCGGCGCACCCCTCATATTTTTCGCGGGCCCGTAGTGCGTTCCGCTTATGGCACCAGTGGCAGCGCCCACATGGAGGCCCCGCCGGACGTCGGCACACCCTCCGCATGCTTCATGGCCCCATGCAGAGATCCCCCGAAGGCGACATCCGCAACGGCGGTATTCAAAACTGCATGTGGTTGGGTCCTTCGCCCGAATAATTGTCGCCGTTCTCCGCTTCCGAGGGCCGCCTCACGGCCCCGTGACGAACACATCGCGGTGCGGGACCGGAAGCCGGGACCCGTTCCCTCAGGTCATGTTCAGAATGTCCACTCACATTTCGTTTGGCCGTGTATTGGTGAAGTTGTTTCAACATGGGTGCCTGGGGCCCGAGGGTCTTGCGCCCCCTGTGATTTGCATCCGCATTGTGAACGTTGATTACACCGCAGTCCACATCTCGAAACCAGAGCGCATTGCCTGTCCCAGTAAACGTAGGTGGCTTTCTTAGGTGGTCTTGCCATGAGCCGAAGACGCGGCGAGTTCTACGTTCCAGAAAAAACAATTGGATTTGACCCTCGAGTGTTGCATTAAATCGGTTGCTTAGTGAATGGACGGGCTGGGCAGGAGTTCTTATCTGCAGGTCTCGTTCATCTTCCGGCAGGCGCAAGATCTGTATTCGAGGTCTTGGTCCCCCTTCTAGTGTCACTGCAGATCCGCCCCGTGCCCAGGAGTACGTCGAGAACATGAAAGAGACCAAAGTCTTCATCGAGAAGAACATGACATGGGTCGAGCCTTCGCATGCAGAGTGTTCTCTAGGTACGTAATAGTACACACCGAAATGGATCACTAGTGCGAAAGTTTGACGGTTGGTGCCGCCGACCATGAAGGGGGACGACGACGACGACGACGACGACGAAGATGATAATGACGATGCCGATGACGATGACGACGACGAAGACGACGACGAAGACGACGACGACGACGACGACGACGACGACGACGACGACGACGACGACGACGACGACGACGACGACGACGACGACGACGACTATGGCGGCGGCGGCGGCGGTGACGACCACGACGACGACGACGACGCTCTCGACCTCTCGCGGGGACCCCTATCGCCTGGTTGGCCTCGCTTGGCGGGCCTTTTTTGTTGGCTAGGGGCATTCTTGGGCCGTCTTTGGCCGTATTGAGCGGTTCTTGGGCCGATATGGGGGGCCTCCTTGGGTCGGTCATTTTGGAGCGTCTGAGGCGTTTTGGGGGCCGTATTGGATTCTTTCTGGGCTCTCTTGGGTTGCCTCTTGGGCCATCTTTAGGGCCTCCTGGGGCCGTCGTGAGGCTCTCTCGGGGAGGACTTGGGCCGTTCTCGTAGGTCTGCTTTGTGGCGTCTTGGGCGGGTGTTTCCTCTCTTACGGCTCTTGGGTGCTCTCTTGGACTGACTTGGTCGGAGGGAGGGGTGGTCTCAACCCCCCGAACCCCCGCCGAGACCCCCTCGGGACCTCCCTTGGCGACCCCCCCCCCGGGACCCCCGACCCATCCCCCTGCGGGAAAGGGATCAAAGGGATGGGGCCTCCTGTCGACTCGATTGCGCTGGCTGGATCGCCGGAGGAGGAGGGCCAAAAGAAAGTGGGAGAGTGGAGGGTTTCTCCGAAGGGCTTAGGCGACCCGTCCTCCTCTCTTCTCCTCCTCCTCCTCCTCCTCCTCCTCCTCCTCCTCCTCCTCCTCCTCCTCCTCCTCCTCCTCCTCCTCCTCCTCCCCGTCCTCCCCCTCCTCGCCCTCCTCGCCCTCCTCGCCCTCCTCGCCCTCCTCCTCCTACCCCCCTTCTCCTCCTCCTCCCCCTCCTCGCCCTCCCCGCCTCGGGTCGCCCACGGCCCCAGGGGAAGCCGTCCAGGAGAGAGCGGCGACGGTGACGGCACCACTTCGGCAGACCCGCTGCACGTCTCGTGGCCCGCTCGGGGGCTCCACCAAGAAGGCTTCCGTGGCAGGGCCCGCAGGCGCCCCCAAGGCCCGTTTCGGCAGGCCATTCACGCGCCCGGTAGCCCCACGGGGAGTGCTGGAGCTCGCCGAGGGCGATGTTCGCAGTCGCGGTCTTCGTAGCTTACACACGGCAGGGTCTTTCGCCGGGGTCTGTTGGCGTGGTCTTCATATACCTCGCTCTCTTTCTCTCTCAGTCACTTTCTACTCGTTCTCTCTCTCTCTCTCCTTCTCTGGAGTCTCTCCATATACGTATATGCTTTCGATTTCAATGCGCCTGTGCTGCTACCCATAAATACATATGACTGATATTATCCGAAAGGGCTTCGCCCCCATGCCGCCTGCCCCCCTCTCTTAGAATGGGACTTGCCAGAGCTGTGTTGGGATGTTTGGATGCTGACACGAATCCATGTCGGGACTTCACGCGAAGGCAATATCAATGGACGAGGGTTTATGGCTTCGAAGGCGCGAATATTATGTAATATACGATGGTTTGTTGATTCGGGGACACGGATCTGAATTAAATTACGAGGGTTTGTGGCCTCGGGGACGCAGAGATGGTGTAATTGACGAGAGTGTATGGCCGCGGGGGCGCAAACATTGTTTAGTTTATGAGGGTGTATGGCCTCAGGGACGCGAACAGTGTATAAGCTGCGAGGGTGTATGGCCTCGGGGACGCAAGTATGGTGTACTTTACAAGGGTTTTTGGCCATGGGGACGCGAACATTGTATAATTTGTTTTATGGTTCATGGCTTCGGGGGCGCAAGTACCTTATAATGTATAAGGATATTGCGTAATGCACCAGGGTTTCTGGCTTCGGGGACGCGAACATTGCGTAGTTCACGAAGGGATTTGGGATTCGGGGACGCTAATGTTGTGTAATTTGCAGAAAGGTGTATGGCTTCGGGGACGCGAGTATGGCGCAATGTGCTAGGGATTACGACCTCGGGGAAGCGAATCTCACGGATTTTTACATTCCCCACGACCCCCCAGGAATTCAGACAACGCTATTCGGGGACGTTAACAGGACGTTTTTCGGCTCCCCCCCCTCGCGCGTTCAGCAAGAATTAACAGGAAGGAAACAGAAAACATGAATGTATCAGTAGAAACTGGAAACTGCAACTGGCACAGGGAGCTGCAAGCCTAATCTTCGCAGCCTGATGGCCCCGCAAGGGGGCCGGCGGATCTCTCTGCTCTTGCTTTGGGGGCTCTTCTGACCCGGGTCAATCCAGACCCGGGTCAGCAGGAAACCAAACAAATGCCATGCAGGATCAAACAAATTGCAACGCAGGTCTTCGCAAACCCGGGTCAGCCAAAATGCGCGGCGGCCTCGCGGCCACGAGCGGCTCGCTAACTTGGGTCAGCCAGAGGGGGTCTTCGCAGGATCTTGCAGGATCTGGTGCCCTGGCTGACCCCCGTTTGCATTGACCCCCGTCTCGAGGCTCCCGATTGCTCTCTCTCTCTCTCTCATTCTCTCTCTCTCTCTCTTTCTTCCCCTCTCTATGTCTCTGCGCTCTCTCTCTCTCTCTCTCTCGTTCTCTGCTTTCTCTCTGCACTCCCTCTCTCGCTCCTAGGCCTCCACTCCCTCATCGTCCTCCTCCCTGCTGACGTCCGTTCCATTGTTCGAATCCTTCTCAATGTCCTCTTGCCTGCGCTCAAAGCATACCTTCCTTATGTTCCAGATTCTCGCGCATCCCGTCGTCCGCCCCCCATCGCTCAGCCGACGCAAACTGATGGGCTCGTTTTCCACCACCACCACCACCATGAGTTGGAGGGGGAGGGGGTCCTCCACCTCCTCCTCTTCGTCCTCCTCCTTCTCGTCGTCCTCCTCCTTCCCCCCTCCAACTTGTGGTGGTGGTGGTGGAAAACTGGCCCATCACAAACGGCAAGTATCCTGTCGCCGTGCGCTCGCGGTTCACGGCGCCGCACGCCCAAGCAATGTTTCAGGCAAGCCCAAGGTTTATGCAGTTCGATGCTCGAGATTGGCAACGCCATTCACCACCTTCCCCAATCAGTGCTCGTCAGCCACGCGCAGAGGGGGGTAGGGGGAGGGGGGAGGGCTTCTCAGAAGCACCCCTGCTTGTTGGAAGGCGCGGGCCTTCTCTGTAGATGTCAGACCAGCGCCCTCTGAGTAGCAGCCTCCTAAGAGGCCCTCCCCCCTCCCCCCACCCCCGCGTGTGCGCCGCCAACAAACAGTGCTGGCACTTGGGGTCTACTACTCCCCCTCTGGGGAACTGAGCCCCACTATGCCACACGAAAGGCCCGTTTTCAGGAGGGAAGAAAGCACACAGACACAAGCATTCGTCGATTCCCCAGAAAATGTAGGAAAATATGGGAAGTGGGGGGGACGACAAAAACCCAGAAAACATGGGAACATATTGGGAATCCTGTGATTAGCGTCTATTTATTTGTGTGTGTGTGTGTGTGTGTGTGTGTCAGGGCCCCTTTAAACAGCTTGCATCGAAGAAGAACAAACGCCATGAACATAAACTGTTGGCGCTCCGCGCGGATTTCTTGGATCCGCGCTGGGTCCCCCCCCGGCGGCGCCTCCGGCGCCGCCCTTGGCGCGCTCCGCGCGCCAGGGAGAGGGGTTCCAGCACAGATTCAAGAAGTCCACGCGGAGCGTCAAAAGTATATGTTTATGGCGTTGCTTCTTCTTCTGTTACACAACACAGTTTGCACCACGTAGATTGCACCTCGTGGATCACACTAATTATCTGGCACCACATAGCTTGCACTAAACAGATTGCGCCACGTCATAGCTTGCAAAACATAGCATGCAACTCATAGCTTACACACCACACTGCTGATACATCCGCAGTGCAATAATTGACTGGTTGGGGCCCATGCGGGCTCACACTGATGCACGTGATGTGCATACATAGTCACCCAAAGTTGCTGTTGAGAGTGAGGGGGTGCGGGTGGATCGCGGCGCGGGTGGGTTGGGGGTGGGCCGCGGCGCGGGTGGGTCGCGGGTGTGTCGCGGCGCGGGTAGGTCGCGGGTGTGTCGCGGGTGGGTCAATCCGTAGCCATTTTGGCTCAAGCCATTTTGGCTCAAGAAGCGTCACAGATTTTTGAAGGGCGGCGAGCGCGGGGGTGCGTCCGCTGCAATAGGGGGCCGGGGCTGGGCCCAGGCGAGGCCGCGACGGTGGCCCACGAACCACGCGCTGGCAGCTCAGCGAGGCACCGGCGGCAGCGGCGGGCGCGCGGGCAGGCGCGCGTGCTGTTGCGGCTAGGCGGCTGGCCTTCTTCAGCAACACCACAGCCGCCAGATGCCCCCCCGCCGCGAGCGCGGGCAGCAGGCTCCTGGCGGGGGGGCATGCCGCTCCGACCCGGAGATGCTTGCTGCGGCGTTGCGGTCGTTGCTCGGCGCGGGAGCGACGGGGGCGGCTGCTGGGGGTGGATTTGGCAGGCGGCAGCGGCGTCAGCAGGAGCCGCAAGGGCAGCAGCGTCAGCTGCCACGAGGTGGAGCTGGGGCTCGGGATGGTTGCCCTACCGAGCGGCTAGCGGGCCCCCGCCAGCCGATGTGGCGCTGCCCATGCGGGGTGGCCGACAACTGGGCATGCCGCGCGGCGTGCCGGGGTTGCGGCCGCCGCGCGCCCCTCTCGGCAGACGCGCCGTCCGTGCGGGTGGCGCAGCCGGGCCGGGCGCCTCGGCCCGCGACGAGGGCGCCGTGGGCTCCGCAGGCGGCGGGGCACCAAGGCGACGCAGCGGCTCCTCGCCCAACCACGGAGGCTGCGCCCGCGGCTGCGGGCAGCCCAGCGGCGGCTGCGGAGGCCGCCGATGCCACGGTGGCCGAGCCGGCGTGCGCGCCCGCCTGGCGGCGAACTGGGGCTTCCCGGATCT